GGTGAAAGTCCACAGCTCAGCCCACCTTTCTCTTCACCTTCTTTGTTTATTCCCCAGCCACCAGAGCAGTCCTCTGTGCAGTCCCTGGCTAGCAGGGCTGATTTTCAGGTTAATTCTTAGGTCCTACCACCACTCGGGAATCTCCAAGCTGTCTGTGCCGTGCTGTCAGTATCGTTCAGGATCGCTGCCAGACGGCAGCTCAGTATGTCTCCTTTTTTGGTATTTTCATGTAAATTCTTCTGCTAGTTGGGGTTTAGTCCACTTCTATATCCTCCTCTTCAAGGCTCAGGGGTCCAGGATTATCTTCTGCGTCTGTGTTAATTGGTTTCCCTTTTCTTTGTTGAAGAGGGTCTGCTGAGTTTTTCTGCCTAGTCCGCCATGCCATCTTACCGGAACTCCTCCCATTGAATTGCTTTTGCATCTTTGTCAAAAACAAGTTGTGTAGTTTGAGTGGGAGTATTTCAGGGTTTCCTATTCTACTCCATTGATATATGTGTCTATGCCTCCTCTACTACCGTACTGTCTTAATTACTGTGGCTATATAGAAAGTCTTCAAGTTGTTAGAGTAATGCTTCTCACTTTATTCTTTTTCAAAATTGTTTTAGCTACTCTAGATCCTGTATCTTTCCACACAAATTTTAGAAATAAGCATGCTATGTCTACAGAAGGAGCCCTTGTGGTGTGGTTAAAGTGCTTGGCTGTTAACCAAAAGGCCAACAATTGGAATCCACCAGCTGCAACCTGGGAGAAAAGGCCTGCAATCTTCTCCCTAAAGAGTACAACCTTGGAAACCCTATCGGGCAGTTACTTTTCCTACAGGGTAGCTATGAATCAGAACTGACTCAATGGCAAAGAAATGTCATAGAAAACCTTGTTGTGATTGTAATAGGAGTTGCTACAATTTTATAGATCAATTTGTGCAGAATTGTTATCTTCACTAGATTGAGTCTTCCAGTTAGTTCATTTACATGGTAGGTATGTCTCCATTTATAGGCAGTCCCAAGGGTACAAACTAGATCAATTTCTAATTGTATCTTTAAGAATTTGTACATAAGTTGGAACAGATGTATATGGTTCTTATTTAATCTTACCTTAGTGCTAGGAAAGAAGCTTTAGTGGCACAGTGGTTATAGCATTCTGCTGTTGACTGGAATTCCACCCTTAAAACCCACCACTCATTCTATAAGATGAGGTAGTCTGCTTTTGTAAAGATTTACAGCCTTGGAAACCCTATGGAGCAGTTCTACTCTGTCCTATAGGGTCATTATGAGTTGGAATCAACTAACTGGCAGTGAGTTAGGTTTGGTTAGTGCAAGAGAAGACTCAAAGCTTTTTCAATGATTTAAAAGCTGCACGTGAAGCAAGTGAAGGTGATTGTGATGAAAAATTTGTTACAAGCCAGGGTTGGGTCAGTCATTTCAAAGTGAGAGCAAATTTGCATAACATTACAGGGAAAGTGCGAGTGTTTTTAAGTTGGACACTCATAACCTAGGGCCTGCCTGTATTTAGGTCTGATTTTACAAAAAAGGGCATGTGGGTGGAGTTGTCCAACCTCCTCTAACTTCATGAGGGGAGAGGGAATCACCATCAGCAGCATCAGCCCAAGGCTGATTTCCATGGGGCAGAAGTCAGACACACCGCCACCCACCAACCTTTTTGCCAATTCTGATACCAGCTATCCCTCCCATGGCATTCTCTACTTCTCTGGTGAGCTGGAAAATTTGTTTCAATGATCACACAAACTCACAGACTATACTCATGATTATGGAGTTTATTAGGGAAGTAACAGGTTACATACAATTCAGGCTCAGGAACGCTCAAGATATAATTCTTCAGTCAGTACAGCCTCCTCTTGGCCATGCAGGTAGACACACCTCTCTTAGGACCTCAGCCTCTGGGCCTGGCCTCTCCTCTGCTCGAGCAAGTATTACAAAGCTCTTTTAGCTTCGCCAGCAAGTCTCCTGCCCAAAGGCACTTAGCTGTCTTGCTCAGACTCAGTAGGCTGGCAAGATTTCCTGTCTCCTGCTGGTCTCTTGGTTCTGCCGCCACAGCCTCTCTGCAAGTCTCAGTGCAGAGGTCTTGGATCCAAGGATGTGCCCAACTCCTGGATGTTCTTTCTGGATGGTAATGAGATTCCCCACCCCACCCTCCACACACCTTTCTGCCTCTAGGATGGTTCATTTTAAGCCTAGTGAGATGGCAAAACTGACCCATCCCCACACTAGGGTTCCATACACCTACATCCAGCTGCCTAGCTACTCAAAACCAGGCCCAGCCAAGTTGACACATAACATTAACTACCACAGAGTATATACCTAAGAATGAAATTTCTGGGTCATATGGTACTTTCTTGTTTATGCATGAGTCTGGTAGACTTTCTCTTGAAGAGGCAGACACTTTTAGGTTATTTGTCTAATTTCTGAACCTGATACTCCCTAATTAATGATCAGACCTTAGATCAGAGCTTTCCAGTGGAATTTTGTGTCGAGATGGACAAATCCCATATTTGTTCTCTCTAATATGGTAGCATAGTGCCCAAGGCACTTGACTGCTAACCAGAAGGCTGGCAGTTCAAACCCACCAGCCACTCCTTGGAAGGAAGGTTGGGTGATACTGCCTTGGCAACCCAAGGAGGGGTTGCTGTGAGTCAGGTCTGACTCGACGGCACATAACAACAACAGCCATGTGTGACTAGGGCAACTGAGAAACGACGTTTTAAATTGTAGTTCATTTTAATTAATTTAAAAGTAGCCACAAGTGTTTTGGACAGCTCAGCCTTAGTAGTGATACAAATGAAGTTCTATCAGAGAGGAGCTCCACTCTACTTCCCTATTAACACACCACTTGAGGAATTAAAATAAAATTCTGGATATCTAAAATACCAAGGTCCCCTTCCCTGGGGGAAAACAACAAACTTTCTTCTTAAATACCAGGAAAGGTTTGAAGATATACAAAGACTATATAAAGACAAAGTTAAGCTAGAATTGAAGGCTCTGTTATTGGAAGAATAACTGATAAATATCCAGAGGGTTATATAATTTACTGAAATGTTGCGTACTTGTCAGTGTTTGTCAAACTATCTATATACACAGTCAATGAAAGTTGTGTTGTTTAAATCCGCACTGTTAGACCAATTGCTAATCAACTTTTGGGGCAAAAAGTTTTGAAGAGTTGGGATATTTTATGCAGACTATCAGATTCGTGGTTAGTTACAGATGATGTCTAAGAAGCCCTGATTTGGGTGGACCTAAATTTAGTAGACCAACCTTCTGGTTAGCAGTCAGATGCCTTAGGCAATGTACTACCAGACCTCCCAATAAATACATACATTATATAATTTTTCTAAATAATTTGACCATATTTGTTATTATAATAAAAAATTAATCTAAAATGTGGAAACTGAAAGTTCATCAACAGATGAATGGATGAACAAAATGTGGTATAGACATACAATGAAACAGTACTCAGCCGTAAAGAAAAATGAAGTCCTGATGCATGCCACAACATGGATGAATCCTGAAAACATTATGCTGAGCGAAATACATCAGTTACAAAAGGACAAACACTATATAATCTAACTTATATGAAATAAGCAAAAATATATAAACAAAAATTATTAGTTGTTACCAGGGATGGTAGGGAGGAGGAAGGTGGGGGTGCTGCTTAAAGGGCACTGAGTTTATGTTAATAGTGTTGGTACGATTTGGAAAAGGAGTGGAGTGATTACACAACCTGAATATACAACAGTCACTGAATTATACATGTAGATATTTTTGAATTGGTGTACGCTTTGTTGTGTACATTCTCATAATTTAAAAAAAATAATGAAAACACTAAGGAAACATAACAAAAGTAACTGTAACACTTATTGAGCTCTTATTTTGTGCCTGGAATTTTTTTAAGGGATTATCATTGACTAGCTCATTAACCCACTAGTTCCCCCCCACCTATGACGTAGGTGCTATTAACATCCTCATTTCACTGTTGATTTTTCCAGGAGCCTTTCTGAGGAATATTCATCAACAGTCAACTTAAAAAAAAAATCCACAAATATTACTTAATCTTGTTCTAACAATATTTCAATTTAAATTTACTAAATTCACAAATATAGTTGTTCTTAATCAAATTTATTTACAAATTTTATTCCCTAAACCTAGTACATTTTAGCTTCAATTTAAAAGCAAATTTAATGTTTTGACATCCTACATTAAACAAATTCCTTTAAATAATTATCCTATTTACTAGTAAATTCCTTTTAAAAGTTGCTACCTCCTTTTAAATCTTAGTAATTTTGTTTTTTTAAATATTAAAAATGGCTCTAGCAAGAGGTTCCCAAGACCTTATAACTTCATATCCAATAAATTAACTCTGCTTAATTTCATGTTCTCTTAAAAGTTGGCAACTTCAAATTCAGTTACTCAAGACATTTTAAATAGAAATCAAAGCTTATCAGAATCTCAAATGACAAATGTTTTAAAGAACACATCTACCTGATAATTCCTGTAAGAGCATCCTGTTTTTCTTCTTTTAACGAGCCTTCCCCCAGTCAAAACTAATTCCTCACTAGTTATCATGCGATTTTCTTTTAGGGCAGGCGGGATTACTTTCCCAGGTGAGGTTTATAGGCTGGGATACAGGTGCAAAGGGTGGCACATGTTGGATGACCATTACCCTGCTATGAACGGAAAACGTTGTGACTACGCGTCTTAAGGCGCCCTTCAGGTCCCAGATTCACGTTTAAGCCCTTACATACCATTGACGCGCTTGTTAACGCATTTAAATGATGACTCCAATCTTTAGCAAATGTAAAACTGTATGCTTAGTGCGCTCTTTTCTTGAAACAGTGGGTGGCTCTGAAAAGAGCCTTTGATTTCAAAAAGGACTTGTCGGGAACAGTAGATCCGTTTTGCCTCTCCCAGGCCCTACTTGCCCTTGGCCTTGTGGTGGCTCTCGGTCTTCTTGGGAAGCAGAACGGCCTGGATGTTGGGCAGGACACCGCCCTGTGCGATGGTGACGCGGCCCAGCAGCTTGTTGAGCTCCTCGTCGTTGCGGATGGCCAGCTGCAGGTGGCGCGGGATGATGCGTGTCTTCTTGTTGTCGCGGGCTGCGTTGCCTGCCAGCTCCAGAATCTCAGCCGTCAGATACTCGAGCACTGCAGCAAGGTACACCGGGGCGCCGGCCCCAACGCGTTCAGAGTAGTTGCCCTTGCGGAGAAGGCGGTGCACACGACCCACAGGGAACTGCAACCCAGCGCGGGAGGAGCGCGATTTCGCTTTGGAGCGCGCTTTGCCGCCTTGTTTCCCACGTCCGGACATCTTCGATTCAGGCACAGTGCAAAAATAAAACCGAAAAGCAGAACTCCAAATAACATGTCCGCGAAGCACAATGAGCCATTATATATGGTCCGGAGGTAGTCTAAGAGGCAGCATTCGATTGGATGGCAAATGAAGCCAATCATAAAAGAAAACTGGCAACCCCCCCCTAATTTGCATATGCCTTCCCCAGCGATGACGTCATGCAACGTTTTGCCCTATCACGTATTAGGAATTCTTAATGCTTCATTTGAATACAAGACTTACAAATAGACTCTCTCGAATTTCATACGCTTTCTTGTTTGGAGAGACCAGCCATTATGCCTGATCCATCCAAGTCAGCTCCGGCGCCAAAGAAAGGTTCCAAGAAGGCTGTCACTAAAGCCCAGAAGAAAGACGGCAAGAAACGCAAACGCAGCCGCAAAGAGAGCTACTCCATTTACGTGTACAAGGTGCTGAAGCAGGTGCACCCGGACACCGGCATTTCGTCCAAGGCCATGGGCATCATGAACTCCTTCGTCAACGATATCTTCGAGCGCATCGCCAGCGAAGCCTCCCGCTTGGCGCACTACAACAAGCGCTCGACCATCACCTCCCGCGAGGTGCAGACAGCCGTGCGCCTGCTGCTGCCGGGGGAGCTGGCCAAGCACGCCGTGTCCGAGGGCACCAAAGCCGTCACCAAGTACACCAGCTCCAAGTGAGGCGCTTCTACCGCAGCCTGCGCAACAGAACCCAAAGGCTCTTTTCAGAGCCACCCACATGATCGAGAAAGGGTTTTGAACACGTTAAAGGAAAGGTTTTTGCATAACTCCATGCTATCTTCATGTGTCCTAGCGATTCCTTGTTACTTTGGGGTCCAGTCTCAGTCCTGTATGTGAGTGCAATTGGGAGATGGGGGACAGAACATGAGAATGTGAAACTCATTACAGAAATCAGGGGTAGAAACTTGCGGGGCAAGATAGTTATAATGTTCGTGGGAGGTTATAAAAGATTTTGACTGTATGCACCCTTTTCTCCACCCAGGGCTATTAAAAATGCACCATTATGTTAAGGTAGGAGCTTTTGGATTCACTTGCGCGCGTGGACCGGGTCCAGGGCTGTGGCAGTCCGCGCGTGGCTTGCTCCGTTTGGTGATGGGGCGCGGGTCACATCCCACAGGAAAACCTTGTGCTACCCGCGCGCCTGAGGCCGGACTTGTACTGGACGCCGGGGTTGGTAATGCCTTGAGTCCTGTCGCCCAGCCCCGGCAGTAGCTCCAGGCACTGCACGCTTGCCTGGATCAGGGATATTTTCTCTCAGCAGTTAACGTTCACTGGGAGACGGGTGGTAGGATCTGTTTGAAATGCACTGAAAACGTAACACCGCCCTTCCGCCCTTGTGCTGTGGGAGCAAAACGTAATAGGAAGCTGACCCCGCTGTGGATAGATTTAACCCTTATTTATGTTGGGAGAACGAAAAGTGTCAAATGATTTTAAATTTGAAATCAGTTTAAGGAGAAAATAGTTCCTTTTTTCGTTACAAACGTGGCTCCCTCCCGGCTCCCTCCTCCCTCCTTCAGCCACACTTTTTTTTTTTTTTTTTTTTTTTGGTGAAGCGTTGTTAGCTGCCATCCAGTCGCCCCATTTATGGCGACCACAGCAGGAATCGGACCATTGTGATTCATTAGATTGTCCTGGGCTGATTTTTGGAAGTAAACCGCGAGGCCTTTCTTCCATGTGAAACATTAGTAACACCGCATTCAATGTAATAAACGTTTATTTCTCTTCTCTGAATCCATGGCATATATTTTGCGAGTTATCTTGGTTCGGGGGAAGCACTTTGCATGAAGAATCCTCACTCAGAAAAGGTCGTTGTTTACATTTGTCTTTGCTTAGCATTTTTCTTTTTTAAATGGTGGTTCCTAATAGTCACTTTGTTATTTTAAAATTTATTGAAAATTAGTGACATCGTTTAAGCAAGGAATAAACTTCCAATAAAAATAAGTATGATCGTTTTTAGCAAGTCATCTCACCAAAAATATCCAGTCGCTTGACCAAGCTGGGGATGCTGGGATGAGCGGAGAGCTGAGCTCAGGGAGGAGAGCTGCGTCAGAAACGTCACAACCTGAGCATCTTCCTCAACAGTGACAGCAATGCATCCCCCCCCCCCCTTTTTTTTTCTCGCATGGATCCTTTCTAAAAGAATTTTTGAAAACCTCACATGTTTTAAAGTTGACATGTCAAAATATTTTTTATCATAATAGTTGCAAGGATGAAAATTCCAATGTTTTGTAAACGTTGGCCATTTAAAAACTACAACTATGACATCAATATTTTAAAGTTATCTATTGGAATATAATTTTGATACTGCAATCAGTTTATAAAGTACATATTTAAAGCCAAACACTGAGAAACTTTAGGTCATTATTTCTTCCCCCCAACTCAAATTTCCATTCCACTTCTGCCTTAGAAGTTTATCCTAGTATAACAAACACATGTTTGTAAATGTTCTCTGCAAAAAGTATTTAAATTCAAATTGTAAAATACTACTAGATGACCAAAAGTCTTTCATTGTTTTTAAAAATTAATAGGATAGTGCACAATTGTTAAAACATAAAGAAGTTCTGATAATTATCCAACAAAAAATAAAAATTTAATGAGACCTGCCTATTTTGATAACATAGATTGTTCTTTCTTTCTTCCCTTCTGCCTCCATTAGTTCATGTATCCATGGGGGGCATATATACCATTATGGTTACCTGACAGCAAGGTACATCACCATTTCTATTTCTTTGTTCTCTTTTGTGTTCTGGAAAAAAATATTTACAAAAACAAATATATAGGAATGAAAATTTGGCCATAGCCATTTTACCTAATTCTTGCCTTCCTAGTAATAATCTGAAAATTAAATATTGATGTATCATCAAATGCAAGTTGAATCTGTCAACACACTTAATCTTCTCAAGAAATAGACTATTTGTACCTAAAACTACAGAATGCAGTTCTCTTCATTTTTGAAACAAGTGCCGACTGACTGGGACTTCCAAACCGTTGCCCTCCTATCAAAATATATTGGGAGCAAACAGCTGCAGTAAGTGTTTGTAGCTATGTGAAACTAGTCTCACAGATCCACTTGGTTCTCCCTTAATGCCCTTAAGAAATTGGTTTAATATATTGAAACTCCCATCCTCTGCAGAGAGAAGTGTGATAGGTTTTGTAGCAATAAGCAACAAATCTTGAAAGGGCAGCAGTGTTTAGTACCAAAATTAAAATCAATGAGCAAAATGAACAATAATTTCTAAATTTAATTATATAAATTTTGTTATGGATAATGCAAAACATCAATTAATCACCCAGTCATTTGGACTGATTGAACACCAAATCAACTCAAAGTACTGAAGAAAACCAAAACCAAACTCATTGCCGTTGAGTCAATTCCAAGGCTGTAAATTTTTTTATAGAAATAGATTGCCCAATCCTCTTCCCGCAGAGAGGCTGGTGGGTTTGAACCACTGACCTTCTGGTTAGCAGCCAAATACCTTATCCACTATACCACCAGAGTTCCTTCAAGTAATAAAGATTGCCTTTAATTCTTGAGCAGTCTTGTGGAGGCTGAACTTGCTCAGGCCACTGGCAGCACCAGGTACTTGACTGCTAACCGGAAGGCTGGCAGTTCAAACCCACCAGTCACTCCTCGGAAGGAAGGTTGGGCAATCTACTTTCACAACGATACTGCCTCAGAAACCCAAGGAGGGGTCGCTATGAGTTGGGTCCACCACGACAGCACATAACAACAACATAGCAACCTAGGACAAAATTAGTTTAGGAAGAAGCAAAGAACGTAAAACAAAAGCCCTCCTGCTATTCAGATTTCATAATCAAGAAAATTGAGAAAAATGACTCAGAATTGATGCCCTCAGCATCTGATCTTATCTCTAGTGCTACAGCAGAGAAAGACAGCTGTTACTTAAAATGAAAAATGAAAGGTTAAAAATGAAGGCAGTTCACATCAAATATTTGAGAATACATAAAAATTAAGAAGTGTGGAGTGTGTGTGGGGGGGGTGGTGACAAACAGTAATCAGAACAATGGAACAAGCTCAGAAATAATTATGCTAATTGTTTAAACTAAGGTGGTTGTTGGAGCTCTGGTAGCATAGTGCCTAAGGCACTTGACTGCTAACCGGAAGGCTGAGGTTCAAACCCACCAGCCACTCCTCAGAAGGAAGGTTGGGCAATCTACTTCCATAGTGATACTGCCTGGGAAACCCAAGGAGGGGTCTCTATGAGTCAGGTCTGACTCAACGGCACATAACAACACAACAACAACAAGGTGGTTATTGCTGAGTCAATTTGGTCACCACATACATGTGTGCAGAGTAGAACTGCTCTTTAGGGTTTTCAAGGCTGTCACCTTTCAGAAGCATATCACCAAGCCTATCTTCTGAGACATCGCTGGGTGGATTTGTACCACCAAAATCTTTCAGCTGGCAGTTGAGCCCTTAACCATGTGACCTACCCAGGGGCTCGTAAACTAGGATTCCAAACCAAAAACCAAACTCACTGCCATCAAGTTCATTCTGAGTCATAGCGACCCCCATTGGTTTTCTGAGGCAGTAAACCTTTACAGAAGTAGATTGCCCAGTCTTGCTTCCATGGAGTGGCTGGAGGGTATGAATCTCCAACCTTCACGGTTAACAGTCAAATGCCTTAGGCACTACGCTATCTGAGCTCCTAAATTTAGGGAAGGAATTTAAGGGATTTTGCCTGCATGCAATCTGAAATACGTTTAAGAGACTGCCCCTAATCTCTACTGGAAAACTCAAATCAAATTTGCTATTTATGAAATAAACAGAGAATTTGGAGGGGAAAACTGTTTCCTTAGGAAGAAAGTACAAATGCAGGAATATGAGTTTACTTTATGAGATAGAAACAATTAAATGTTGGAAAATGTGCACCTGTCCCTGGAGGTAGATGGGCACTGAGCCAGAGTTAGAAGATAATTGTCCTTCACTAGTAACCGAGCTAGAATCTAATCTGAATCACAGACATTTCAGCTCTGGAAGAGTGGACTGCTACAAGGGACACAAGTGTATGCTTCATGGTTGGGGAAGATTTTTATTTACCATATCTGGATGTAGCAAAAAAAGAAAGAAAGAAAAGAAAATAGAAATGGATTTTAAATACCAAGTGTGCCTCCTCTTTTGATATGTGTCAACCAGAGTGGGATTCCTCCCCCTGCCCCCAGGCCAAGACCTAGAGAGAGGAAGCTGATGTTTATTTACAAAAATTAGATTTGGGAATAATTTTAAGAGCAAGAAGAACCTACACCCCAGTCAGACCTGCATGCTTCAGTTGTTAGTAAATATGTCATCCAGATTTATTTTGTATGTTAGTTTGTATTTCTTTGCATACGATTTTTACTGAGGGGGGAGAAAAAGATGCTATATTTTTCTTTACTAAAAAAGATCTTTCCCTGCTTACTAAACTTATGTTTTAAATTTTCTTTTCTCCTCCCCCCCCCCCCAGGCCCCAGATAAACTAAAACTAATTTGGGAGGATTTTAGGTGAGTAGTGAGAGGTAGCAACCAGGAGCTGTACACCCTGCTGTTTGGATTTGCAAACAGGGACGCATAGTGCCCATAAGGAGCTGTGTAAACTTAACGCTGCAGAAGCGTTTGGCTTTGGGCTAGAAGCTCATCTTGTCTAGTCTTGGCGAAGGCGGGCGGAGGCTACCGAATGACTGCCTCAAGCGCCACCACCAAGACTACGTGACAACACCCTTGCATCACCAAGCTCCATCATTCAGCGTACTTAAGCCTTCACCTATCAGGAGCTACGAAAGGATGGAGGAGGCAGTATGGCACAAGGTATTCCTTGAAGTGATCCCGTTAGGTCATTTACATGGATTGTGCAACGCGCAGATCGTCATAGCCCTGGGCTAAGCCTAAATTATCAAGTTTAACGGAATGTTAGGGTTCCCCCCCCCCATGAAGTAAATATTAAGAACAAGGAGCCTAGTTTTATTTCAAAACTTGTGCCCCCATCGCTCATCCCAAATCCTTCATAATCTCAATTAATGTCACAACTATACTACGTTGTACGCTCCTTTTTGAGCATGGAGGTGGCTCTGAAAAGAGCCTTTGGGTTCTGTTGCGCAGGCTGCGGTAGAAGCGCCTCACTTGGAGCTGGTGTACTTGGTGACGGCTTTGGTGCCCTCGGACACGGCGTGCTTGGCCAGCTCCCCCGGCAGCAGCAGGCGCACGGCTGTCTGCACCTCGCGGGAGGTGATGGTCGAGCGCTTGTTGTAGTGCGCCAAGCGGGAGGCTTCGCTGGCGATGCGCTCGAAGATATCGTTGACGAAGGAGTTCATGATGCCCATGGCCTTGGACGAAATGCCGGTGTCCGGGTGCACCTGCTTCAGCACCTTGTACACGTAAATGGAGTAGCTCTCCTTGCGGCCGCGCTTGCGCTTCTTGCCGTCTTTTTTCTGAACCTTGGTGATAGCCTTTTTGGAGCCTTTCTTAGGGGCGGGAGCCGACCGAGAAGGATCTGGCATGTTGAGACAGCGTCAGGATAGAAACAAATGGAAATGTGGACAGAGCAGGTCTATTTGTCATTTTTATATTCAAATGAAGGCTTCCATGTTTCTAGACTCTGATTGGACAGCACTCCTTACGCTGTCGTAAACAGGAAGAATTTATTTAAATAAAGATGCCGGCTCTGCTCTCCTACTGGATGACAGGGCGGTAGGCATGTCAACCAATCAACAGCAGCTCTATCGCGCTGACCACGCTGTCTGGGAATCTTTGTTTAGAAGCCTTTGTTTTAACATGAGAGAAGATCTTTATTTACCATATCTGGACGTGAGAATAAAGGAAATAGAAATGGATTTAACGCCAAATCTGGATCTTCTCTTGATATGTATCTACACTGTGGGGATTTTTTTTTTTTTTTTTTTCCTGACACCAAGATCCAGAGAGGGGAAGCTGATGTTTATTTACAAAAATGCTGAGAAACAGGAGTAGATTTGAACTGCTTTAACCAATTATGTTCCATTAGTTGTTTTTTTCAAAAGCCTCCCTAAATTTTTTCTTTTCGAATTCAAGAGTAAATTCTAGTTTGTTAGTAAACATTGAAAAGTATATTAAGGTGCGCTGAAGTGAAGTAACAGGGCAGACTTTCAACAGAAGAGAAGGAATTGAATGCATTTCAAACTAAACACTAATCATTCATATTTATTATTGTTGTTACTAATGCTGAGTAACCCTGCTCCACTTAAGTGTTTCATTGCTTGTTATGTATGAACTCCCCTATTCTCCTAATATCTCTAAGAGTTAAACATTATTGCTCCAAAACACAATTTTATGGGAGTCTCACTATTTCAGCATCAGTGTTACCTAGGGAGCTCGTTTGAAATGCAGAATCTTGGGTGACCTCTGGCAAATAATTTACTTTCTCTGAGCCTTCATTTTTCTCATTTGTAAAAATGAAGATCTCAGTGTCTACAGGATAGGATTGCTATGTGTTAATGTGGCTGAAGCAGTTGGTCCTGTTCCAGCATACACTTAGTGCATAGTGTCTGTTAGCTTCATGTCTTCCTTTCCTTCACAGACTTGATCCAGCTCCAAGCAGCTGGTGCTCCCTTTGCTGAACTCTATCAAATAAATATGTAGAGACTTTCTTTCTCCCACTAAAAGAATGACTAAACTGTAAGACACGTGTCTCTCACTTCTGAATCTTCAGGATGGAACACAGTGCTTGATACATAACAGAGGCCTTATAAATGTTTGTTGAATGAATACATCTGTGTGCTAAAGGACCATACTATACATTCAAGTTTGTATTCTAAGATCAATCTGGCATCATCAGAAGATGAACTGCTCGAGACATACTCAGCATTTAGTATTTTATCTGTTTAATTTTACAATATGTAACTGATACAAATAACATTTCTATGGTACTCATTATGAATTCACTTGTGGATTATAGGCACATTTCTAGAGTTGGAGAAGGAGCAATGAATTAAGGAACTTTCCTAAGTAAGGTCCTTGTCCTTCCTCAATCCATACTGGACCAAGCCAGAATCATTTTATTTTCTTTATTAACCACAAGGGAGTGCAAAGGGTTATTGAGCTTAGCTGCTAACTGAAAGGTTGGAGTTTCCAATCCATACAGAGGTGCCTCAGAAGAAAGAGCTGGTGATCTGCCTCTGAGAAATCAGCCACTGAAAACACTACAGAGCACAGTTCTACTCTGACACACATGGGATTGCTGTGAATTGGAATTGACTCAAGGCACCTGGGTTATGAACCACTTAAAGCATTTCTGGCCTATGGTAGGTTTTGATTAAATGTTTTTCAAGGAAAAGGTACAGTGCCACTCCCATCCTCCTCTCCTCAGATCTGTGTCTTACTTCTTATCTAAGTGCAATAATTAAAATATCTCAAGGGTTGGTAAAAGTGAATTTAATGGTTTCAAACGGTATTTGGGGGAGATATGGAAACCAAACCCAAAAAACCCAAACTCTTGCCATTGAATTGATTCCAACTCATAGTGACTACCATAGGGTTTCCAAGGGGGAAAAAAATTAGAGAAGCTGACTGCCTTATCTTTCTTCCACCAAGCAGCTGAGCCACTGGCCTTTTGGTTAGCAGCCAGTGGTAGTTAAGATTGTGTATCCACTTGGCTGGGACCGAGGTTTTGAGTATCTGGGCAGCTGAATGTAGTTCCATAGTGGAATCCACTGTAAGCAGCTAAGTGTCTGCCTTTGGCAGTGTGGCCTGCTTCCAATATATAAGGAGAAGCTTTGAGAAAGGTTTTAGCTTTTTGGCACCTTTGGATTCTTCATTTGTCAGAATCTTCATCCAGTGGCCTGCTGTGTTACCTGTTGATCTTGGGATTGTGCCATTCTACCTGTCAACCTTGGGTTTGTCAGCCTCAGCAGCTGCATGAGTTACAAGAAGCCTCCAGCTCCACAGGGCTGGGAGCAAGAGGCAGAACTGAAGCCCAAGGTCAAGGGGTCTTCGACCAGCCTCTAGACACGTCACTTTAAATTTGGACTTTTAGCCTCCTAAAGTGTAAGAGAATGAATTCCTGTTTGTTAAAGCCATCCACTTGTGGTATTTCTGTTACAGCAGCACTGAAGAACCAAAATACAGCCAAATACCATAACCACTATACTACCGGATCTCCTTATATGGAAACCAAGCAACACATAAATCACAAAGTTTGTGGGGACTCTATGAGG